TTAAGGGGCCCGCACACGGTGAGCATTTGGTGCGCGCCACTTGCGCTGCGCAAAATGCTCACGCTCCTCAGCTCCCCGCAAACGCTGCGCTCTTTGCTCAGCAAAGGTGCCTCCCGACCCGCCCCTATCAGACTACCATAAACTGTGGGATCATGTGATTAAGGAAACATTACATATTTCTTTTTTTTCTGAAAGTAATGGCAAATGGTGACCACGTTATCAATCAGACTAACTATAACTGTGTACATTTTTGTTTACTTCGCTGGGGGCTGCCATTTTTCTTTGTTTCCGGCTATCGGCACATGTGCATTGTTGGCATGGCATGAGCAATCGGCACTTGCACCCCGCACACGCTGAGACATTTGCCTCAAGAGACCAAAAAAATCAAACACGTGAGAAATTTTGCTCAGCCGCGCGAGAGGCAAAAATCTCACCAAAATACCCCCGCACACGATGAGAAAACGGCGTAGCGCAAGTGGAGCGCACCAAATGCTCACCGTGTGCGGGCCCCTTAACCTACATATCAAAAACAAACAAAAACAAGGCAGCAAAGCTGTCAAATGTACAGACAAAAAACATAAAAAAAAGATGCAAAATAGGTCATTTTGTCAATTTTGATGCAATAATATATGCTTATTATAGCACAGTCAGTCAAAGCTGATTTATAATCATGCACAACAGGTAACATGGTCCCTAACAGATGCAGACCCAGAGATATTTTCTGACAGTATTCCAAAGTATCTTTATAGATTCATCCTCCATTCTGATGGTCTTCCAACAGAAACCGGTTAATATAAACTTTAAAATCTGACTGTCTTCCAGGAGACCAAGAAGATGGTCTCAATCCATCCCTTGAATAAGATTACAGTTTCAGGACCATGAGTCTCAGAGTTAAAATTCACATGATGAAAGTCCCAATATATGAAAAAAGATGACAGTGCATGAAATAATATTGCAGCATGTTTAAAGACATAAATACCAATACAACTGCTTATGTGGAAATACTGAAAATGTGCAGAGCCTCAGGTGGATCAGGGCGTAGCCTGAGAAAAATGCCGGGGGGGGCAGTAAGCGGACACGAGGGGGCGAAGCCCCCGAGGGGGTAGGGTGTTGGAGGGGTTGTCCCCCTCCTACGGTGTGGAAAATTTTTAAAAACTGTATGTATAATACTGCATTCTGGTGCATTGGCATGAACTGAGTAGGCTAAAAACAGTACACCTTTGTAAACAGATTGTTGAATGATTGTCTAGTGGCCATGAGTGCATTTTCTCAAAGAATTTACATCAACTTTGCAATTATTTTCTACCTTTGCGATTATTATTATTATTATTATTTTTTTTTTTTTGCACCTCAAATCCCAGGGGGGCAGCTGGCCCCCTGCCCCCCGGAGGCTAGGCCCTGTGGATGGGAATTAAAAATCACATCTTAAAAATGCCAGTGTTGGAGAAAAAATTAAAAAGAAAACAACAAAAAATATAATTCCAATGAAGCTGCTATTCATTGCTTCCTCATTATGGATGATATGTTATCTGGCAGAGAGCTTAACCTTTGGGAGTTTACAGGGAAATATCAACAAGGGTGCTTTATGAAATTTCATTTAATGGGCTTAATTTAATTGCTTAATTAGGCAAATGAGTTTATAGCACTAAAATTAGCCTAGTAAATACCCAAGGGGAATTTACAGACTGACCACACAAATTTGTCTATCCAAGGTCTTCAGGCCCATAAGTCACACCTTAAGAAAAGCAGAAAAAAATAATGCACACAATAAAACAGGAGACTGCCAACTCTGATGCAATAACGCAATATGTTTAACTGTACAGTCAACATCAAATTTTAATTATGCACAACTGGTAACACTGATTAAAGTAAAAGCATAAGGCTCCAGGCCCATCAGAGTTCAAGATTACATTTAGAAAGTGCCAGAATGAGAAAAATGAAAATTTCACAAAAAATTCATGAATTTAATTAAAATGATAACACAATTGAGCTGGCTTTCTTATTTGAACTGCCTGCCAATCCTAAAAATCATACTTGTAAGTTAAAAATAATAATAAGTATTCTATTCATATTGTTTGAAGTAGCAGTGCAAAAAGATTTTAGTCAATTTTGATGTAACATTTCATAAAAAATTACAGAATAATTATTACCAATTTTTGAATATTGACTATAAATAGCATGGACATGTAGAAAATTTGATTACCATTCAGCTTCATGTCAATGGGAGCCGCGAGTCCCACAATGAATATGCCAAAGAGATAATAATTATTTCACTAAAATGTATAACTTCCAGAAAAAGAAGTCAATTAGACTGCTTTTCCAACTTAGGCTGCATTTTAGTCCTGGGTTTCTTTTATGAAAGTTTGACAGTCATAAGTAACAAGGTTTTCCCATAATGGTCATCATGGCAGCAGCACCAAAAATTGTGTTTTCTTCTATTTTGATGCAACATTACATAATGCTTAACGGCATAATGACCATCAATTTTTAATAATAAAATATAAGTATCATGGATTTTCAGAAAATGTGACTAGCATGGCTCTTCAAGCCTGTGGAGGTTCTAAGTCACACCTTGAAAATGCCAATAAATGAAAAATTAAATTTTCACAAAAAAAAAAAAAAATTCTTTAATTGCCAGAAAAATTTACCAAACAGATTGCATTGCCTACTGGAGCTGTATTTTAGTCCCATGTTTCTTTCCTGTAAGTTTGAGAACAGCAAGTGACATGATTTTCCTAAAATGGTCTTCATGGAAGCAGTGCCATAAATGGGGGTTTCTTCAAATTTTGATGCAACATTACATAATGTTTAGCAGCATAATGACCATCAAATTTACATAATAAAATATTAGTAACATGGACATTCAGAAAACGTGACAAGCAAAGGTCTACAGTCCCATGGAACTTCAAAGTCACACCTTGAAAATTACAAAATGTAAACAAGACAGCACTGTTCTGTTATGGGTTTATTTCCATTTTTAACATAAAATAAACATTTTATTGCCATTTTTATATGACCAACTGAGAAAATTGATGAGATGGGGAAAGTATCAATAGAACAGTGTAAAATGTCCAATTTCCTCCATTCTGAGATTCTGAACATAGTGGATGATTGTATCTGACAAACTGCAATGATATGAGTTTATTTTCATTTTTGACACTTTCTTACACAATACATAATAACAAGTTTACCATCATTTTTACATAATCAAATAACAATGTTGTAAAGATGCAGGAAATATCAAACAAACACTTTTATCTTATTAGTTCAATAATGAGACTGTTAACATGCCTAAGAATTGAATCTGAGGAAATGTGAAAAAAAACAGTATAACTTCTAAAATAATGGCCCAATTATGCTGATTTTCGAACTCAACCTGCATTTTAGCAGGATTGACAACTCATGTGAGTATAATGACAATTGGCCAATCTGTTTTTCATATATTGTGTTATCAGTGTTGCATATATATTGAAAAAAGTGAAAAACAGCATAACTTCCCTAAAAATGACCCGATCATGCTGAATTTCGAACTTGACCTGCGTATTATGAATATTCATCAGTTTTATAAGTTTCAAGCCAAAAAGTAAAATGGTTTTCCACTTATCGTGTTATCAGTGCTGCATATATGCTGAAAAAAGTGAAAAAACAGCATAACTTCCCTAAAAATTGCCCGATCATGCTGATTTTCGAACTTGACCTGCGGATTATGAATATTCATCAGTTCTGTAAATTTGAATACAAAATGTAAAACGGTATTCCACTTATCGTGTTATCACTGAGTGCACGGCGACGGCGACAGCCACGGCGACGGCGACGACAGACGCAGGTGACGGCTATATGTACAGACACATCTGTGTCTGTACATAAAAATTGCAACAGCCTGGATATATATGTGAAGCATAATGATAATACTAAGAAATGGGAATCAACATTTTAGAAAGTTTTTCTCATGATTAAATAAAAATATAAAATAAAAAATAAGTTCTATTGAAAACATCATTTCAACAAGTATTTCATATAGCAAGAGATATTTGGTGCAGTTGTATCAGTTTTGTAGGCGACACTGATGTTTGTTTAATTTAGACTTGAAATGGCAATCAGCATACATGTATATTGTACAATGCTAAATATCTGCTTGGCCCAAACATTTGTTGAGTTGGTTTAATAACAAGTTTATTTTTGTTTCCATTTGATGGTGTTTGCATCATAATGTGGTGAAATGTATCATCATACATGTATTATGTATCACTATTATGATTATTACATGAAGTTTTTTTCTTTAGTTAATAACTTATCAACCTACAAATACATATGCCATTGTACTGAATCTGCCTGGCTTATAGACTGTTCAGAATAAATTTTATCAACATCCATATTTTTTTTTAAATTTGGAGAAGACCAAGTACATTTGGAGCAGGCGGCTGTTTCACAATCAGGGTGAACAATTAAATGTGGTTAATGTTACAAGTGTCTGATAAATTAACAATTTATGATTAGAGATTGCTGACAGACTGATATCAAAGACAATAAAAAAAGAATTATAATAATCGGACTACAATTTACAAAAATATGGCCAATTATGTGTANAGAGTGAAGCATTAAAAATCTTCACACATTTCCATAAAGTTGATTAAAAGAATAATTAAAATTTGGTATACTCCTACAGATGATGATATTTTATTCAAATTTATTTTATTCATATTTCTTTTTTCGAAAATGATATGATAAGTAATTAGTGAGTGGTCAGTACAGCATTCTGAGCAAACTATGAAATCCAGGGAATAGCAGCATGGGCTGAAAAATAGTTAAGCCTGAGCAATTTTGATTAGAGATTAAGTTGCACCAAAGGTTAGGCTTGATAAAGAATTTTTAATGAACGGATAGGAAGCAGGTTGGCAGTTTACTGGAAACTTACTGGGAAAAGGATTAAAGTGAATACTTGGAAATGCACTGTTTACATTTGAATTGTATCCTGTTGGTTCAGTTTATACTGTAACCCTGGTGTGTTAAAAGGAAAAAATAACCTTTTTTGATAGCAAAGATATAGGTAGTCACCCTTAGCAAAATATCAGGACTACTGCAAATTTGCAGCAAATTTGCAGCAATTTTGCTACAAACTGCAATTCCTTCTTGGAAATTTGAAGCAAATTTGCAACAATATGGCTGCAAATTAGCAGCAATAAAATTTTTCTTGCAAACTCCTGTAGACTTTTAGATTGCAGCAGTATTGCTGCCAACTTTTCCATTTTGCTTAGGGCATTCCTCCTGAACTGGACTGCTAATATCCTGTCGATGTTACATAAACTGAAATGTTTTTCTTTTGCACAACTTCACATTCATATTTCAAGACCTTAATTTTTACACTATAAAAAATTGTTACAATTATAAGCTCTTAAATATATATATATATATATATATATATATATATATATATATATATATATATATATATATATGATTGATATCTGAAGTGATGAAACAAGCTTGTAGCACATCACGTGTGGTGTAGCACAGACCATGGCTTTCTAGGTACAAATGTATCAGCTTTAAGCTAATTAGTCTACTTTCAGAATAATAGTAAAAAGAACTGTATGAAAGTAACTGTATTTTCTAAAAAGTTATGGAAATGTGAATGAAGTAAATAGGTATAGGGTGGCAGAGGATGAGACATATATGGAGGATGGGACTTGGTAACTTACAACATTACAGCATATTCAAAATGATATTGACAATACTGCTGTGAAAGCAATATTTCCAAACCCTTTTTATGTCAGACACATCCTACTTTGTGCACTGCCACCACAAGGATTATGAAAAGAAATTTGTGTTACTTATTAATTTTTTTAGCTGACAAGAATGATTCTTAGGATTGAAATATAGCTCAAATTAGAAAACTAGCAATATTGGATTATCATTTTTTATTGAATTTATGCATTTTTTTGTGAAATTTTCATTTTTCTCATTCTGGCATTTTCTAAGTGTGAACTTGAACTCTCATGGGCCTGAAGCCTTGTGCTTCTACTTTCGTCGGTATTACCTGTTGTGCATAATTAAAATTTGATGTTGACTTTGCAGTTAGGTATAATTTATTATTGCATCAGAATTGACAGTATCATATCTTGTGCATTATTTTCTGCTTTTTGTCTGTACATTTGACAGCTTTGCTGCCTTGCAAATGTTTTATCTCTGTTTTTATTGAATGCTGTTTGTACAAAAAAGATGAAAGTATCATTTTGATAAGAAAAAAATTTTTGTGAGGTGCTGACATCATTTTGAGATTGTCACTTTCATCGTTTTGACAAGAAAATGATGTCAGGGGTCAAAATGTTTAGAAAATCATACTTTCCCTGCCGGGAAAGTCACTTTGTATATTACTTTCCCTGCAAGAAAGTAGCTTTCCCTGACAACCAAATCATGAAAACCAATTTCCCTGATATTAAATTACATAATTTTTCATATGATGATGATATATCAAGGAAAGAACATATTTTAGAGAAATGTATGTTTATTGATATGAAATAAACGAACATGACGTCCATATATATATATATAGTGTTTGTGGCAATAACTGGGTATATTTTTAAACATTAATAATAATGTGACTGAAATCTACCAAATACACATACTCACGAAAAAAAAAACCTGTGACAGATCAAGAACTTGTCTACTACTCCACACGTCTTGAAAAAACGTAACATGCTTAATGAAGGGTCTACTGTACCTAATCATCATCATCACCATCAGACTCGGTATCTTGGTCAGTCTCACTNCAGATCAAGAACTTGTCTACTACTCCACACGTCTTGAAAAAACGTAACATGCTTAATGAAGGGTCTACTGTACCTAATCATCATCATCACCATCAGACTCGGTATCTTGGTCAGTCTCACTGTCACTAATATCTGAACTTATCAGAGCTTTCTGTGGTACTTGAACAATCTTTCTGGCATATTTCTTTGGGTCCAGGACTCTCCTGCCATCTGCTAACCACTTTCCATAGGCAGAATCTGGTACAAACTTGTCCAATTTTACTTTACTTAACTTAACTGTCATGAGATTTGACAAAGAAGATGGTGTAAGTGAAGCTCTCCAATCAGTTTTTATCCGTTTCATTAGAGAAAAGCCCCTTTCTGCATCTGCAGTGCTGACTGGCAACACCATTACAATGGCCAAGAGGGCACAAATATTGGGGTATATGTCTTTGTGCACAGTCAACATTCTAGTAAGAAAAGAAACTGTATCCTGGCCCTTTTCGTGGAGCTCTAGCACAGATTTTTTGAACTGCGGCCATTCAACCTGGCACATGCTTGTTTTAAATCCTGCGTTGTCTAGTGTCCTCCTAAAATGTTCCGAAAGCTTTTCAATTTTTTCATCTCCATACTCCTCAAATTTGACACTATTTTTGGATGGCCATTTACTAACATTAAACACTTGTACATTCTCACACACAGAATCCTGGTCCCTCAATACATCTCCAAACCGCTCTTCAATTGTACTTATGCTGTCCTTCAAAAACTGGGTTAAATCATTCACAATGGCACCCTTACATTTCTCAATATTTTCTCCTCTACCAAGTCGTACAGTTTCACCTTTGAATTCAAATTCTTCAAGGTCTATAGTTTTGGCTGATTCCTCAACCTTTTCCTCTATGTTGAACCTTTTCAGCAATCTGAGTGTTGCCTTAATTCTGCTTTGAGCACAGGACATTATGTATGAGGATTCCTGCAAGGCCAAGCTGATTGACTGAAGGATTTCAAGTATCTCCTGCACAACAGGAAGGGCAATCACAATCTTCAAGTTTGTCAAGGTATTGTTTATCTTTTTGGCTTTTCCCAATATCTCAGCTCTTTTACTTCCAATACCTTCCACTATCTGGGTAGTGTGCACAACCAGTGGCTTCCATAACTTTTTCAAGACAGTTACAGCTCTTGATCTGTGGGATATCCACCTTGTTCCCATTACATTCTCTGGACTGTTGAAAGCAATGTTGTGTGTGCTGCAGGTAGTTTTCAGAGCTTCCTTCTGCACAGATGATGATTTGTAGAGCTTGTAGATAAGCTGACACAAGTCGGAAAACTCTTGCACAACAGAACTTTTCTTCCCTCCATCTCTGATAGCCAACTCAAACCTATGGGCCAGGCAGTGTATGCCAACTGTCTCGGGCATCAATTCACAAAATCTGCGGTACACACCATTTCTAACTCCAAAATTTACACTTGCCCCATCAGCCACAAATGCTATAAGGCCTTTCAAATCATCTACACCTACATAGTTCTTGATACTGTCACACAAATGGTCAAAAATATGTTCAGCATCTGGTTTCTCTACACTGGAGATACAAAGAAACACAGTTCTTGGTTGGTTTTCATCAGTAAGATATCGAACATAGACAATTTCTTCCTCTAGGGAAGCACTGTCAGTACACCCATCACACAGTATTGAAAAAAAGAAACCTTTTCTAATATTTGTGGCAAGATTGTCTCTTATATCCTTTGCAATATACTTGATGAACTCAGCACATGATTTATCTGATGAGAAACGTGTGGTCAGATTTTTTGATGCACCAACTCTCTCCAAAAGTTCTAATTCCCCAGAGAAGGAGGTGTAAGGTTGGTTACAAATAGCTACTTTGAATGCAGTAATAAATTTTGCATGCATCAACTCTGTTTCAGATTCTTCTATCTTCATAAAACTTTTTTGTAAAGGTTTTCTTTCTGGTGGAGTCATTTGAGATAAAGCTGCTGCTGTACAACGTTGTGGAGATCACTTTCCTGATGACCCAAGATGACTGGCAGTTTGAAAGTCCTGCACCCCTCAATAAATGCTATGCTGTGTGGACCCAATTTACCTATCTTCTTGTGGTTTGAAACACAGTACGAGCACCATATTTTGTCATCATCATTCATAAGCCAGGGTCTGCCGATTTTCCAAGATTCTTGAAATGTTCTGGAGCGTTTTTCTTTCTCGTATCTAACTTCCTTTACAGAAAGTTTACCTTTACTTGGCCTTCCTCGCCTTTGTTGATTGCTGAATGATGACGAAGGTTGTACTGTAAGAACAAAAATTGAATAATGTATTCTTTTAAATGGAGAATAAAACACCTAAATTACTACATTTATCAGGCAGTGTGTGTGTGTGTGAGAGAGAGAGTGTTTCTGTCTATAAATAGTTGTTTGTGTGCATGTGCGTGTATATGTTAAAGGCCCTGATCAAATCTAGTCCTATGCATAAAAAGCTCAGATGTATTTTACAAATCACAGGTAATGAAATACAAGTGTCTCTCATTTGCCACACCTGTAAGTATCATAATATGTGCCTTGATCTAAGACATCCCTTGCACATGCCATACAAACAAACTGGCAGCTTGGCCAATTAACTTGGTCAATTAACTTGCCCATTATCCAGTAATTAATGCAAAGACACCATAAAGAATGGGCCCAGCCAGGGCGTAATAAACATGGGGTCTGGGCTTTTTATGCATGGGACTAGATTTGGTCTGGGCCTTTGACATACATACATATATATATATATTTATATGATCTCTCACAATACAAGTTGTCTGTTTCAAATTCTTTTTTTTTTTTTTTTTAAGCTTTAAAAATTTTTTTAATTTTTTACCATTTTGCTCCAGAACTTCATCAGATTCAGTAAAACTGTCACTGTCTAAATTTTCCATTGGTTCATCTTCTTTGGCAGCTAAAAAGTATTAATGGTTGATTGTGATTTTATTGTAATTATATACAGATACAGAAAAATTACTGGAAAGTGTTGACGAGAACAGTAATGTGAATATTTAATCATAAAACAATAAAAATAAGGGAGACTCTGGACATATCAATTATCATGAAACCATGGTCAAGCAAATAAAATAATTGGACCTATTTTAAGTGTGCACAGTGATTAATTTCATTCAAAACTTGGGACATTACTTACTAGTTTGGCAATTTTATACAAATTAGAAAAGGAGAAGTTGAAGAAGTGCAGTGGAATTTCAATGTTAAAAACACCCCTTTTTCAGATGTAAAGGGAATAAAGATCTCAGGTCCTTAATTTTAAGGCTAGAATAACCCATGATATCTATAAAACGTTTGTCGGTCAGATAGGAGTTCATTGAAAAACAAACCAATCACTTCACAAACAGACTAATTTAGTCTAAATAGAGGCTCTTCAGAAAAACCGAAAATTGGAGGATAAGAAAAAAATTCAGTCTGTGAAATGGCCGATTTGTTTTTCAATACATCATGTCACCAACAAAGAGAATTAGGTAGGGCAATTTTTATGTTTACCACGTAACAGGAAAGTAATAACGTCATGTATAGTTCATTAGATACGAAACTTGTTAGGCATTGTTCACGACGTACCTGCATCGTGGCCATGTGCGCCCGCTTCACCCTCAGTTCTTGTGTCCTCAAGTTCTTGTTTAGCGAGTTTTCTCGTTTCTTCCATGCTTTCATCTTTGCTTTTTCGCTTGGAGAAACCAAACTTAAAGAGAGACATTTTCAGAACACCAAACGTGAGCCCGTCTTTAGCGCGCAACCTTGCTTCAGCTGATCGTGCATGGAGAGATGAATGATACTAGTTCCCCGTACTACGCTGCATGGTGCGTGCCGTTGTGTATGATTGGGCGCTGCGTCTAGCGTTGTTCCCGCACATTATTTTGTTCTCACAAGCTTCGTATGTTTGTACCTGTCTATTTTATACCCGCTAACTGCGCAGGCTTGTTTCTTTCTATGTCAAACATTGTGTAAATTGGAAAGGGAACGAGTCAGATATTCTAGCAGACATCCACAAAGCGGCATTGTGGGATACTACTGTAAGTGAACGATTTTGATTGACAACTCTCATGAAATTCAAAAGGAGGCCCCGTTATAAATTCAAGCTAGTCACGTGAGTGCGTCCTTAGTTTCAGAGTATGTGCAGTACTACCGTAAAGCTTCTTTGCGTTGTAGAAAATGGTTAAATAAATGTATTAGTACAACTTAGTGCCAGGAAATGAGTTTTATTATAGGTCGGGAAAGCGACCTCTAATAGTGATTTCCCGAGAGGTTTTTGCATTTCCCGGACCTTTTCAATGATTTACCGGACGGGAAAGTAAGACTTGACATAGCTTTCCCGAGCTCGCAATAGCTTTCCCTCGGGAAAGCGGGAAAGCAACATTTCGACCCCTGGGGCGGATTGAGGCTGTCTTCTGGGTCTTCCGGAAGACTGTCAGATTTTCAAGTTTACGTTGGTGGGTATCCATTTTTTTCTGTCAGAAGACAGTCAGAAATGGAGGGTGGATTAACAAAGATAATTTGGAAGACTGTCAGAAAATATCTCTGGATCTGCTCCTGATTGAGAAAGCTTTTTATATCTCTAATGAACTGGATTGAAAAGTTTTTACCATTTCCTTACTGTTAGTAGAACATATTTTAGTACAAGAAGAAAAAATTGTGAAATTTTTCTATGCTGTAAATTATGCCATTATAATGGAAAGGAATATATAGTGTCATGCCATTACCATGATAGCATTATTCAGAAGAATCTTTAAAATGGTTGTAAATCAATTGTTAGAATATATAGTAACCAATCTTTGCCCCAGCAAAAAAAAGTAAACCGACGTCTTCAATTTCAGGAAAAATTACCAAAGAACAGATCAAGGCTGGGTATGCCGCTCTGAAGAAGATAGACAATTGCATCCAGAAAGAAGAGTTTGGCAGAAAGCTGGTTGAAGCCTGCGATGAGTTCTACACACGAGTGCCACATGATTTTGGGTGAGAACTTCTTGTTCAACATTCTATAACCAGAATCTCAATTCTGTGTCATTTTTATTTACAGACACAGTGTTAGTGCATATAATCATCATCTAAAACTGTCGACTGCATCATTTTCATGCACTTTTCACAGATAATGCATTTTCAAGTGTTCAGCTGAGCATAATCAAGTTAACTTGATAGAAGGATGCTGTTTTGTGATGTTGGGTTGATTCATTTGCTTTTCTTTGAATTGTTATTGCAAGTTAAGGATAGTGATTCATAACAAAATTATTTTACATTTATGATAAATGTTTTTATGACTTTCTCTCCAGCATGTCCAGACCTCCCGTGATAAGAACTAAGGCGGAACTGAAGTCCAAGATCCAGCTGCTAGAGGTAAGACTGAGAGAAACTTTTCAAAGTTTCATAGTTTATTATTGTAAACTGGTTACAGTGTAGAGAGGTTTCACAATTTTAACTTACAGAGGAGACTCTCTCCATGATAATTTTAGTGAATTTTGCTGAAGGTTTAGTAGCTGTTTGATTTTTGCATTAAATTTTATAACATTAGCATGCTGACAGTAATATTTAGCTAAATACATGTTTCTATTATATCTAATAGTATCATCAGTAGAATTGAAAATATAATCGAATTTATCACCAAGGTTGAATAGTAGTGTTTATGTACACAAATTTACTGAAGGAATGAAAACATTAGAGTATGTTTTTATAGTTTTTGTGAATCAGTAGTGTGCTCTTTTTGTAGCATACGCATTTTACAGCATATTGTTTTACATTGTTTTTTTTTAAGTCACTGCGACATTTTGCAAGTTGGAAATTTAAAGTAACCATTTATATACAAGTGTATGCTAAAACAAATACATGATCGTATAATTTATAATTCTAGTATTTCATTGGTTATAATCTGTTACTTGTGTGCTTCATGATTTATATTCTGCATGGCATGTGTGTATATTATTTCGCAAATTGTTATAGTTCTAATGGAGTAAGCTAATGTGGTCAGTCGTTTTTCACTACAGGCACTGGGAGACATTGAGATAGCCATTAAGATGTTAAAGGAAGGAGACTTCTCTGAAAACCCTGTTGACAGGCACTACCATGCCCTGCACTGTAAACTGAAACCCCTAGAGCAAACACAGGATGACTTCAAGGTACCCACCTCTATGGTGTGAGGATGTTGTTATCAATGATAATACTTTTTTCTAAAAATTAAATTTGTGATTGTTTTTCTTTCCATTGTTTACAAATATAGGGTTTTGTTCTGAGAATGATATATGAATATATATATATATATATATATATATATATATATATATATATATATATATATATATATATATATATATATATTTTTTTTTTTTTTTTTTTTTTTTTTTTTTTTTTAGGAAAATTGTCTAGTTTCAAGATATTTACATAAATTCTTAAACTTTAAAACCTTTTTTTTTTCAATCTGGTTCCAGCTAGTTGAGAAGTACTTACAGAACACACATGCAGCAACCCATTCTCAGTACAAGATGAAGCTTCTTGATCTGTTTGACTGTGACAAGGAGGGGGAAGCCAAGAATTTCAGAGACGTTGGAAACAGGTGACTCTTAAACAACAATTTTTCAAAATACAAACTGTACATATGCTTATGATATTCTCATATTTCAAACACATGCTGAGTCTTTGACTTTTTTTATGTCTAAAATGAGTTTGGAGAGTTGTTGTTGGGCTTTTTGCAGTAATGAGATTGTTCTGGCTTTAAATCAAACACAATTTTTTGATGGTCAGTAATATACAGTCATTTTGAAATGACTAATTATATTGGATGTTAAATGGACCCCTAACTTTTTTGAAAACCCTGCTGTGTATTGATTTGGAATTTATAAAATGCCATTATTGAGTTTTATTCCTGACGTGCAGATTATAATTATCAGCACATTTCATGTCTCAGTTTAAGCTTAATTCTCTGTAATTTCTAATATTGTACCACAGTGTCAAAGCGACATCATTAAAGCATCCATTCCATAATGTGGATACAACTGTTCACATTTTCAGGAAACTTCTTTGGCATGGTTCACGTATGAGCAACTGGGCAGGAATATTGAACCAAGGACTGAGGATTGCACCACCAGAGGCACCTGTCACAGGCTACATGGTGAGTTAACTTCATGACAGGGTCTCTCTTGTTCTGGGCCCATTTTCATCAACACTGGATATAGTGCTACCCTCTGGATAACATTATCCATTAGACAAACTTGTTATCTTGTGGGCGAAGTAATGTTTACTAAACTTTAGATACTTATTTTTTGTCTCTAATATTGCTTTCCAGTGGTTAAATGCTATCCTCAGGATAATTTTCCAGAGGATAACAATTTTATCCAAAGGATAGTGTTATCTGTAGGATAGTGCTGAACTTCTGAGCGGATAATTTTACATTGTTAAACATCAAACAAGTATTGATAAGTTGTAGTTGAAATTTTTAATTGGTTGTCAGCAGTCTTCATCCAATCTAATGAAAAAAGCTGTTATGATTCTTTAGCAGATAGATAGATAGATAGCCCACCCTTTCATGCACGTGAATAATATAAAAACAGAATTATGGATAAATTGCCATGTGTGATTTGACAACTAAAACCTGTTTAATATTTCAAACATGTTTCAGACAGTGGACTGAGAACTGAAACAGTTCTGGCCAGGTTTCATCCTCAGGAAATTTCCATATTGCTTGTTTGTGAAATATTTGAAAAAACAGCCAAGTTAAATTTTTGTACTCAAGTAATGAGCAAAGTGGGGCATTACAAGAACTATTTTTGAACCTTTCTTATTTTATTTCAGTTTGGAAAAGGTATCTATTTTGCTGACATGTCCAGCAAAAGTGCCAATTACTGTTATCCAACAAGGTCCAAGAATATTGGGCTTGTCTTGCTGAGTGAGGTTGCCTTGGGAACACCCAATCAGCTGCTAGCAGCAGACTATGGGGCCGACAAACTGCCCTCAGGGAAGAACAGTGTCCAGGGACTGGGACGTGTGGCACCTGATCCCAAGGAAGAGGTTACAATGTAAGTAACTGTTTTTTATAGAGTAGTGTTACTTCAAGTTTTATATATAACACTATAGTGTGTTGTGACAATTGTTTGAGTGCACTGTCTGCTGTCTTTACAGTGCATTAAGAGAAAGAGCTCTATCAAAATGAGAATAAAGTGATTTTTTTTTTTTTTTTTTTTTTTTTTTTTTTTTTTTTTTTTTTTTTTTTTTTTTTGTGAATTGGTAACATAGAACAATAGGTCTATAGTGTAAAAATTTCTTGTTGTCTTTTTAACTGTTTCAAATATTTAACCACTGGTGAATATGAAATGCTTTAATGTATATATTCACCTTTTGCATCTACAACGTCTGAAATTGAATCAAAAATTTAATCCTTATTTTGTCTCCTTTCAGGTCTAATGGAACAGTAGTTCCCCTTGGTAAACCAAAAGACTCTGGCGTTAAAAACCCTAGTGGTTACACCTTAAACTATNGATGATGGTAACATAGAACAATAGGTCTATAGTGTAAAAATTTCTTGTTGTCTTTTTAACTGTTTCAAATATTTAACCACTGGTGAATATGAAATGCTTTAATGTATATATTCACCTTTTGCATCTACAACGTCTGAAATTGAATCAAAAATTTAATCCTTATTTTGTCTCCTTTCAGGTCTAATGGAACAGTAGTTCCCCTTGGTAAACCAAAAGACACTGGCGTTAAAAACCCTAGTGGTTACACCTTAAACTATAATGAATTTGTGGTGTACGACCCAAGACAAGTGAGAATGAAATATCTGTGCAAAGTACAATTTAACTTTTAGGAAAATATCAATTTCTTATTTAATTACTGACATATCAATGGAGAATTCAAATGTGGTAAGAATGAAGAGGCATTGTTTTCAGTGCTTGGTGAGATCCTTCACATCAGCAAGAATATTTTTTCATGGATGGTATTAAGATTTGTTTATTGTAAGTTAGAAGTGGAATGATCATTTGAGGAGTTGGCTTTGAAAAACGATAAAAAAAAGACATTGATTGGCAGTAGAAAAAGGAGACCTTAAGTTTCATTTCAGTGACAGAACATAGAAGTATATATACATTGATGCATCTTTGAAGATCTACATTACAGTTGTAAAATACAATCCAAGCTTTCGGCCCCTGGGCCTTCTTCGGGGATTATGAACAAAAAGTGAAAAAACAAACTCCTAGGATATGTGACGTCAGTGATGTGTTAAAAAAAGTGACAGAACATAAAAATGTAAAAGTTATAAGCAAATATTTGTCATTTTTTACCAATTAATCAAATTATATTTCCTGAAATTTTTATTATCTTTTTAAAAACAGACTGCTTTAATTTATAGTCTTGCTAATGGGAGTGAAGTGAAAATACACTTGACTATTCAGTTCAGTTTCCTATGGGAATTATTAGACAATCTCAAAATTTTTCATTGTTAGTGTTTTTTTTTTAAATCAGACCTTCAAGTTTCTTGTGGTTATATGTAAGTGCTGTACATATAAGTTGTACATATGAAATACATTTTATGATTTTGAAAGTTCAGACTTGGTTTCTCTAAATAATAATGATTTGGAAAATAGCTCTCCTCAAATATAAAAAACAGACAGTCAACATTTAAAGAAATACAAAAAATAAATAATTTGCTGGTGTGTGTATGTGCAGATGAAGGAATGACAATTTGATCATATGTGGACAAATTTGTCCTCATTAATTACTAATAACAATGAGGTTATGTTTTCACCCTTATTCATCTGTAACTCAAAAACTTATGTTGGGTTTTTATGAAATTTTCATGATATGTAGGTCAGAAATGTGCTTAACTTAAGTGATTAAATTTTGTTGGTGATCTAAAGGATTCTTCTTAAAGGATTCCTCACCATTGCCAGTTGATGTTGGTGACCTCGAGTTGTGCAATGAATGTGCTCTCAACTATCACATTTTATTATTGTACAGATCTTGATGGGTGGCGGTCTATGCTCATTTCTAGTTTATTTTACTTTTACCCGTTTTTTCTAAATTGGATGCCTGTATTAACAACCGCATTCAGTGTATTGTCAAGTTATCACATTTGTATATGACAGCTAATTGTTATTACTCAAAGACGTTCCTTTGTTGTTGCTGGATGAACAAAAGTTCTTTCAAATCTGTTTTGCTGCCTATGAGATTCAGTGCAAAAGGGTAATGAAGTTCAGAATGCATTACATTGTACATTGTGCATTTGTCCACAACTCGTCTTGCATGTGGTCATGTAACTGATTGTCTGCTCATTGGGTGGCAGTCATTTGCGCACCATTACAAATTTCAATCACACACTGGTGCTGATGGAGCATGAAATTTGAGGCTCCATTCGAAATAGACCACATCAGTCAAGTAGATTGATCCAAACCTGCAGTGACTCTTGCTGAGTGCAATCAGCTTAACTGAATGACTTCTTCTTGTTTCCAACATACTCATATAATCAGCAGCTTTTCTGTATTCTACTAAATGCCAGGAGGAGGCATGTCATTCACTTATAATTAAGCTGATTGCACTTGGCAAGAGTCCCTGCAGAGTTGGATCATTGTATGTTTCTTGGGTTATACATTCATCTCTCACCTACTAAAACGTTCATGGACATGCATATCTTAGGCACTTGCATTTTCAGGCTGCACTTACATCTTTACGTGCTAAAAATCCAAATTCATTTTTTTTCTTTTTTTTTACCCTCATGAAAGATACATTGTATTAAAGAAAAAACTGAAAAATCTCATTTCTGGCAATTACTGGTATCTTAGTCATTATAAATTTTTTGATATGTTGAAGTGACTAGAGTGAATTGTGCACCAGACTTGAGCTCTAAATTTTGCATTTAGGCACTCGGGGTTTATTATCATGGCTGGCAGCATTGCTTTACACAAATATATTAATCAATAATCCCACAGCGAATGACACCCACACAGACATTCACTCTATGCAGTCAGTAGTTTTCAACATATTTTCAACCTTCAAAAAAGGATCCCTCAGCCAAAGTATTGTGTGTGTGTTTTTCTTTCATTTCTCTTCTAAAGATACAGGTGCTCTTCGAAAAAAAATTAGCATGATTGAGAAGGAACCCAATTGTCAAGTTTCTGTTGCGCTCTGTATTCCCAGGGGCCTGTTAAGTACAGGGGCTGCTTTCAGAAGGGATCTTGATTAGATTTCTGATTGAAACATCAATTTTTCCACACTTCAAAATTTTATTTAATAATAAAGTGCTGTCAGTTTGTAAATTACATTAAAGATTTTCATTTTGGAGTGCTTTCTAAGTAGTAAGAGGCTTATGAGGCTTTTCTAGAAAATATTACTACATTGGCAAAGGAAAATGAGATTCTGTCGAAAAAGTATAGAGGTTTTTGATTGTGTAAGGACGATAAGCAGTATGAAATGGAACTTGTGTGCCATATTACATAAAGAAGGAAGAGGGGCATGCAAAATGTGTCTTGTAGAAAAGGAATGCTATTCAATTTCCATTTATCAATTTATCATCAATTGGTCCAAATGAGATTTAGCTAATGGACTAAAGCAAAAATGGTCAAGCGTGAGTTGGGCTTAAAGAGAATTATGCCATTAGTTAGGTTTTAGCCTTTGTAAGATGCTTATTACATAGGGATTCCTGCAGATCTGCGCAAAATCAGATTTACTAATGCTGAAGTATCATATATGTTATTCGATATGGAGTACCATGTCTGTTAAATTCTGCAATGACAATCATTCCAAACACGTTATTTGGAGATTTATCAGTGTAGTCCCTCACAATAAATTGCCACAAAAAAAAAAAGTGGTTTGATTTGTCACAGTGGCACATCTTGAGGACCAAGACGTGAGAGACGCAAATGGAATCCACACGCTCACTACGGAAGCCAATCAGTTGTGTGATTATTTCTACCAACATTTTCAGGCACAAAATTGTTCAATTAATTTTTACGGTTTCCATTTGACTCATCATCGTGGGTTCATGCAGACAGAGAAATGCAATTAGTTCGCTTTCAATGCCCATCCCTGCCCATACGAATTAGTGTACAAAGGGTAATAACATGGGAGCCCTAGCCAACTAATGAATTACCAGCTGGCCTGTGCCTCTCTCTAGAGGTTGACAGCTCATCATGGCGCTCTTGATTTTGATAAATGTTTCACCTCTGGGAACATGAAGCAAAAGTCAAGAGCACTTTGTATCTCGAACAAATATGTATACATTGTATGGTCAGGGCTCCTTTCACATGCTCACGCACACATACATGTGCAGGCACACTAACACATACACGTGCAAATGCAAATGCACATGCAGCACAAAAAAATGAAAAAGAAGGACAAGTTGAAAGCTGGTTTAATGTTCGAGACCCAATATTTAATCTACTTTTATTCAGGGTACATGTATATGTGGAATAGCCTAACCTAATATTGCACTTGTATTGATTGAAAACTCAAGCCAGAATTCTTTCATCTTGTGAAACAAGCTAATATCTTCATTTAAATGGACCAATTCTGATTTATCTGTGGTCTTGATAATTTAAAATGTTTCATATTTATTTAATTTTTTGTTTGAAACTAGACGGAAGTTTATACATGTACCTCAACCTTTCAAGAACTGAAGGTGATGATAGTAGCTAAGCTATTCGTCTAAAATTTGGGCTGCTCTTCCAGTCGTGATTTATTTGCTTGGACAAGGAAATTTGCAAAGTGCAATGAGATGATTTCAGTCCATTACTTTACTAGCAGACAATGCTAGCTGGAGGATTTATTTGGGCTTATTGATTTGACTCCCACATTGTGTGCATTATACAGCTATCTAATCTCCTTCATATTTTACTTTTAACACTATTTATCAAGATTTGGGTCATGCGGTTATTTTCAAAAAGGATCTTTGGTCTCAGGTCTCTGTCTAATGTTCAAAATATTGCATTATGTGGATTGGGCAATTTTTATCATTAATTTCTATATGTATCCAGAGAGGGCTCAGCTGCTTTTCAAAATTGTATCAATGACTGTCATTAATGTAGAAGTACTGTTTTATGTAAACTGTGTGCATAAAGTTCACATATACTGTGTGTGTGTGTGTGTGTGTGTGTGTGTGTGTGTGCGTGTGGTCCTGTATCAGTACCTTGGATAAACTGATCAAATACATGACATTACACAATGTAGCAACCCATGTAAGAAAATGTGTTGTTGTAAATATCAACTGATACTCTTTGCCTTGGTAATAAGTATCGATATAGAGCGAAGGGTGACGCAATTAGAGGTGCTTGGAGGTATATACGACGACGTGTTTATCATAAAAGCAGGTAGATGTTTTCCAGTAGCAAAATAAATGTAGTGCTTTAATGTGGGTGATTTGTAACTTTTTTCCATTAAATCTCAGGTAATGTCACGGAGGCCATGCAGACTACATTTATTTTCTATGTTTGTTGTGACGATGCATATTTTTCACTTTTGAGTTTGATTTTCGAGAAGAAATATTCCTCTTGAAAGCCAGTGAAGGTTGCACCTTGGGAGTTTTTTAGGTTTGTTGGAAAATCGCTTTGATTGTAACCAGTGTTCCAGTGCATTTTTAGTTATGGGGAGAGATACAGCAATTTTGCATAGAGAGGATTTGTGGTCGCAGCTCTGAAAGGGACAGAGGCCATCCCTGCATAATTTCATGGTGTCAGTCAGACATCTGCGTAAGTCGGCAGGCCCATAGCTAGGGGGATTCGGGGGGTTCAAAAGAACTGCCTTTTTTGTCAGAAAAAGGTCCATTCTGGGTAAAATTTGATCTAGGTAAGCAAAAGTTTCATTGTAAAAGGTCCACTTTTTCAAAAAAAAAAAATTTTGAAGTTGCTGGCTGCAGGCCAGGCCGGACTTTTTTATGCAACTTATATTATGACTTTCATAAACAAGCTGAAATAACCTAGCTACCAGTATGAATAAGGACTCAAGGCAAGATAGACAATTGATCAAATTATTGCCATTTTCCCACTACTTTCCCTAGTGTGCAACATGATTATCTCAGCTTGTAGCCATTTTTGTCCCATAGTGACTCCATAGGTACCCTAAGACCTCATTCCCATAGATTTTTAGATCGATCTTTCCCCCTGGGGAGTCTCACTAGATTGGTGTCAGCTTAACAGGCTTAAATGTCTGTCCCGCCTACTAAAAGTTGTAAGGGGGTAATTAACTATGGTGCGTGCTCGCACCAATTTAGCAGCAACTTAGCGAGAACCCCCAGGGAGTTAGGTTGATCCAGATGGATCGATCTAAATCTTTGGGAATGCAGTCTAAGAGTGTATTCAGAACAGATGATCTACGAATAACTGATCCACCGACTAATCATGGCAGACCCCACTTAAAAGCAAGCTGCCCTAATCCCCTGCTGGTCTCCCTGCCTCCACACCTGCCATATTAAACGAATTAAATCTCGGCTCCAAGGTCGAAAGATTTCCACTTTTCGCTGGGCAAAGGTCCACTCTGGGTAAATTTGATCTGGGTAAAGTAAGGTTTCATGACAAAAGGTCCGCATTTTTAGAAAAAGAACCCCCCTTTTGCAATTGCTGGTTAAGGGTCTGGAATGCATGACTTACAAAATCTGCCACGGATATCCTAAGTTACAGAGGACACTGGTAACTCATCGCCTCTATCTGCATGCATGCCTCTGCCATTTCCAGAGACCTGCGGCTAGTAAAGTGGTAGGGTTCCGATGTCCTCAGTAACTCTGGGTGAGGAAGGTAGGTTTAAGATTTTTTGGACTATTGGTGGATTTCAGACTTAATGGGAGCCAAAAATGACATTTTTGAGATCCATGCAGAGCTGCAATAGAAAAACAAAAGAGGAGGGGGGGGGGATCTGGACCCCACCCCATATTTTCAGACTTTTGCACAAAATGGCAGTCTCATCCCTGTTCGCTTATCCAGATTATCCAATATGATTGTAAAAGTTTTTGTGTTGTTACCAATGCCTTGTGCAATTACATGTTGGTTTCCATTATATATTGATATTTGTCTAAAGAGTTTACCCAATTATCTATATTTCACACATTGTTGGTTTTGCTTTTATTATTTTTTTATGTCAACAATAATTGTCTCAGTGCAATAAAGATGCTAGGCTATTTTTCTATTTCTCACAACTGTCTGTTCCAATACGTGGTTATCCCTAATCACTAGCAGCAATTCTGAATAAGCCACAGAGGCAGCTCTTGAGGGCAATTAAGAGGCAATTTTCATGCAGACATTTGTGCACTTGCTATGTTCCATCATCAATTTCTCATCTATCTGATTTGATTTCATTTGCTTTCTGGCTGCTGAACAATTCAGTGTTGTCTGCAGCAACTGCTGCTGCTGCTTGTTTGAAAGGAGAAAGTTAAGAGAGGAGTTATTTCCGAATAGCTGCCATATGTTTTTATCCTACATATTTTTTGCCAACAGGAACAAGGAAGAAAGTTACATGTAAAAGAAGAATGTCACCTTGACTCTTTGAAGGTGATTTTAAACATTTTGAAGCATCTTGACAAACCAAAGGGAAAGAGAGCATAAAAGAATTTTCAACTCTGCATTTGAACATTCTCATTATTCATGAAGAATATATGGCAGCAGTTTTGTCAAACTCTGTGCAGTTATTTTAAAGCAGTTGGTTTTCAAAAATCTGGTTTTCTTTTTGCAGCACCAAAATACATGGTGACAGAATAGAATTCTAGTCCATGAAGAGAAACTAGGATCATATTCAAAAAGTAGCAGATTTGTCAGTCCATTGTATTTTTGGAGTACTATATGTACTTTGTTGTTTACAATAGTTTGTCAGTTTAAATATTAATTGCCAATTTCCGTTCACTTGTATGGATTTTTGATAACATAGTGATAAACTACATATATATATGCATATAGTTTTGATCTCATGGGAAGAAATAACTGTAAGGAATACAGGCCTCTCATATCAGGATGAAGTACAGAAGATGTGCATAAACTGTATATTGTATTCATTGATTTACATATACATGCATTGTGCTAGTAGAACAGTTGGCTTGTTGCTGAGTGCACTACAAATTTAACATCAAACTATATTGAAGTCATCACTGTCTTATCAGGAAATGCACCAATTGTTGACTCGCAGGACATAATATCAGTCAGCCAGACAAGGGACAAGATATATCTGCTGTTGAGGTCACATTATCAACCAGGTTTTCAATCCCTGTTGAAATTTCAATNAAAGCTGAGCAGCTAACACAAACATCAAGATCGTGAAGTATGAACCCTTTTGAGAACCCATTGCAGAATTTGGGGGCATTTATCATTGATGAATTTAATTATTGAACTGATGTCACAGTGACGAGAGTGTTTATTTTAATAAAAACACAATTGACATTATTGCTTCAATAAAAATATTCAAATTTAAACATCAATACTGTACCTTTAAAGACCAAGCATACACGTTGGTGGCAACATCACAAACTTCACAGTCGTACCCGGGCCTGGTCGACCTGTCTGCGTGACAAGTACCTTTTAAGAAACAGCTTCCATTCTACAAATAATTCCAACAGGTTACATTATATGACAATATTAATGAAGCCGCTTACGAATACCAAACATTCCAAAAATGGTAATGAAAACAAGCCTGACCCTTGTGTAATATTGCAAACAGACATATAAAAAAGAGTTATCGTGACAGATAAAATTCAAAATGTTTGAACAAAATGAGGGGTCGAGTGATATGACTCCGTATATTGATTTAGTAATACCTACTTGTATCTTAACCTCGTCTGTTTCATACCTTAACTGTCCATTCATTTTCGTTGATGTTAAAGTCGCAGTACAGGCAAGAGAATCCAGGTCTGATGTTTCTATCTGGGTCACACACGCCATCTATCGAGCAGCTTGTAGCCTAATATATTGGTAAACATAGTAAACTTGAAACATATGTGATTAGATATAGGTGTTTGCATGATATTTTTAATCAAAGAACTTAGTGCAAATTAAAGCAAAATACACCACAATTAACAATGTCCCTAGATACGACATTGTGTTTATCTCAACTCGTTAAAGTCGAAACCATTATATACTGCTCAACAGAAGTCAGGGAGCACCAACGCCATTTAACATGCAAAAGTTGTCACCACACCTACTATTATTTAAATTTGGCAATTCTTAAACAAAGTCATCATTCTGCATTGGGTGTTATTTCTACTTTAACTACTAGTATGTTGCAAAAAGAGAAATCTCTGCACATGATTACAAGTAATAGTTATGTTTATTTTGGGGACTAAATATGTAAATCCTTTGGGTAAAATTATTTGGCCTCCATTCTTCCCGGTAGTCATGCGCGGGAGAGGTTTTGGTGAATAGAGAACGTGCTTGCTATTATCAATGTGAAAAAGCCAGCGTAAGAAACACACAAGAGCTTTGACTGACACATTCTCCAGCTGTGTCCTAACGGCATGGTGTGGCAATGGTGTAAAGATGGGTGGTATAGCCAACATTCCTAGTTCAGTTCGACCTTGTGTCACAACCCCACCTCAGGACATTTTCTTTATTTGTCACATATACGGAACCTGACTGTAACTGACAAGACACTACAAATATCCCCCAAAAGAACCACTCACGCTACATTTAATGACAGGCGGCGACCCCTCGCCCCCTCTCCCTTGGAGTGGGTTTCGGAGCCCACACACAAACACGCACACACATTTCAGTTCAATATCAGATCATATTGAACACTTTCGGCGCCGAAAATATCCCCGGGATGACCTTATCCGAAGTCAGTCATTATATACATGTATTATATTATTACGCACATGCATGAAATACTTCTGTGTGTCGACCATAACAGTAATATTTCTGTGACATACATACTTGAGTGAACCATCCCACAGCGTCGTAAGCGGGATCACAGCGTTGGCATGGATTATTAGGGTTTGTCTCGTTTGCAACGTAACATTTTCCTCCGATGATACAGGTTTCGCTCTATGGTCAATATAACGATGATACAAATAAAAACCAATTCGTAATATAGCTCTATAAATCAATTATATTTAACAAAATCTCAAAAAGGTTATAATATATACGTCATAACTAAGGGTGGTAAAATTAATATGTTTGATACTAAAGCACAATAGCAAGTTATTATATTATAATGTTTGTTTGATTGTTTTTGTCTGTTTTTAGTTATTTTTTAAGAACTACATGTCAGACATACCTTAAGCGAGCAACTGAACGTTGAATTGCAGTCAACACATTTAGAATCATAAACAAGGAGGTATTTGGGTTCGCTGAAGTTTTCAGCGTTATTGCTGACGCTCACTTCGTATCCCTCCGCGAGGACGGTCTCCTGGGGGACAGTGGGACTGGCCGCTCTCTTTTTCCTGGACAAAGTATGTGGCAAAGGACACATTACCTCTTGCAGATGAATAAATTCTGCAGTAGTCTCACTGTAGGTAAAAGATGGTACGACACCCGCATTTGTTACCTTAAGAAAGGAATGAAGATTCTACGTCAGTCTACAAGGTTAACTTCCACATGTATAGATTAATGCATTTCAACAAAATATGATTAGTAATCGTGTTTACTATAAGCAAGCAATAATAACATTTACAATTAGTAAGAACACATATGTAATAAATTAACTTAATAAAAGTCGTTTCACTGGTTATGGGTTAAATAAACCTTCTTATAATAATTCAGGAAATAAGTGCCGAATGCAAATACCTTAAAATGCTTAAATTTGCACGTAACGGCCACGCTCTTGATGAAGGACGATCAATAAACCGGCGTCTTTCTGCACGGCCTAGAGCGTTCATCACACAGCCCGGCACTAGGCAGCTCGAAGTACACCGGTGCTACGTTTATATCCATGGAGCAATCATAGCCATAATACGGGTCGACACAAGTACATTTCCTGCAAATATATTCCGTACTGTTCTTAATACATTAAAGGTATTATATACGGAAATTTCGGACAAATCAAATTTTCTCAAGAAAGAAAGCAATTTTCTCCTACTAGTGACTCATTTCTAAATCTGCCCATGTCGATTCTATAATTTATAGCACTACTAATAAAATAATTCAATCGTTTACACCGTCATGTACAATTCAGGAGTTAAAATTGACATAGAGCACTTTAATGTGAGAAGTTTTGTCATTTCAGGGTCTCATACAACATTCAGCTTTGGTGGGTATGTAGACATGGGAAATATGACTTTGAGACATTGTGAATGTCGAAACTAGATCATTTGTCATTGTTAGGTATGTAAACATTGTCGCTTACCCCAGGAAAATCCATTTTGCCAAAAAAAAAACAAGTGTTATCCGTTTGATAAGCACCTTTCACTGTTTTCAACTTTCTTGAAATCCAACCTTTTAATCCACCTAAAACGCAGGGCAAACATACCGGAACATTCTCGAAACATTTTATTTGAATTGAATTACTGCCTACCGTTTGAGCAAACGCCGTGTCCGGAGCAGTTCCTTGGACAAAGGGCGGCCGCTATTGCGGCCGGTGGGACTGCAACGCTGGAACCGTTTTCTACTCATGTCCACAGTGAAACATTCTTCGCTAACTCTGTCGCAATGGTTGCCTCAAATCCGTCTCTTGTGTATTCGGCCCATTCTGTGCCTCCTGTCATCTGTTTATAAGATACAAAGATAAACATGTTTCCTAGTGATTGATCTGACTGACATATAATTCAATCCATTCAATTGCACACAAACAGTGAACCAAACTTTGAACTGCATATCCTCCCAAAGACATTCTTTCACCAAGAGAGCGCGTGGTATTAGTCATGATAGGGTGAAGAGTATATTAAAGCCGTTTGCATGGTAATACACTCTTGCTAAAATGATGGAATATTCCAACAGGATGTTAAAGGAAGCAAAGTCATCAAAAGAAACTGTGTGTTATTAATCTCGCGTAGCTGCCACGATTATGTCGCCTATGCTTTGAGGAACTGCCTCGACCAGTGCCTGCAATTTTTGATGACTCTCTGGCTGAGATAACCCCAACCTTTGACAGTATGCGTGGTATACAATCTATCAACCGTTCGGTATTATCACGAAATCTCAAACACTTTCGTAACCTTAAATTTGTTATTGGGCAATACTACAACCAGGTAAGTGAAAGATTATGTAACAATCAACACAGTTAATTTTGAAATAATAATTAATATAATAATTTTCGAAAAATTCCAACATTTTTGCAAGAGTGTATACAGCAATTCTCACGGCAAGCCCCTGTCAATTCTCTTCGCGACTTTCGTATCACGTTAGAAAGTTTAACAAACCATATATTATAAAGTGCACATCTGGTGTCACTTAAGCTCGAGTACATATATTTTTCTCGGTCTTGTTATTAAATTAAGTTTCTTATGCTGTTGAATTGCCTATAAACGGACAACAATTACAAAAAATATGTTCATGTATAATTACCAGGATATCAGTCACACACCCGTCTATTAATGTGTCTTCGTCTTAATTCTCCATTATGGAAGCAGCTTCCCCAGTGGTTTCATCTTCGATATAGCTGGTGCAGGAAGCTCTGGCCGATTCTTCAGTCCAACCATTTTTCCAAGTAAAACTCTTAAAACAAAAATTTAGTGTGTATTAAAAAAATTAACAGTAAGTTTCAATTATAATTAACAGTTATCCAATTGGGGAAAAATAAAACCCAATACCACTTAATACCATTTAGAAATTTTCATAAAATAACCCAAATAAAAAGGCGATATTTTAAGGAACACCTTTATATAGAAGTGCATTCTTATAATATCACATATAATATCTTAGTCGGTCATTATCGCTCTGAAAATACGTGGTTTTGAATCAAAACAATCAAATCATAGAAGACACACACGCTTCCTAAGTATCCTGTACACACGGGAATACTTACAAAAGCAGGTATAAAAAAAGAAAGTTTACTGCTCAATAATTAACTGCGAACGTAAAAAAAATAATTTTTGTTATCCATCGCTTTATTGAATTGTGCATGGTGTTTGGAAGTTACTTTCAAGTGTCATTATGCAATGGAGTATAAAAAGGAAAGTGCCGAATTGTTCTTTTTTGTCGACACATGTTGCATAGTATACTGCCCTCCCAGGCTGCAATTTTACGAGGATGGCCCGTGCTGCTGCCTGGTTTGGGCGCGCTGCTTTGTACGAAACCGTTGGTTGATTTTCACAATGGTTTTGTGAAATTTATCACTGTGAAATTTAAAGAAGCGAATACATTAAGATTTTTTAAATGTTCTATTATTATTTGATGAAGTGTATAAGAATGGTTTCCGAGATATTCTGTCACCCATTTGTATATTTAAAAAGGCAAAAAAACATGAAAATGCATCCTTACAGTGTTACTAGGGTCATAGTCTTCCTCCAAAAAGGTTCGTTCTTCAAGGATATAATCACTTCCTTCCAGGTCATCTCTCCTCTGCCTACACTGGTCATACTGTGCTGTGTGGTTGTTATATCATCTTTTGTATCGGCACAGGACTGGACATTAACTAAATAGCTACAGTTAGCGAATCTTTCCTCGTTAGACGTGCCACTACATGTGCAGTAAGGGAAACGTTTCCGTCTTGTTCCCTCCGTCCCATTGTATAGACTTTCCTTGACCGATTTAACTCTATCAACATAAACAGATTCAATTTTTTAACATAGTTATCGAAATTTGTGCTTATCAATTTGAAAGAGAGCTAGGTGACAGTGTTGTTGGTTTCCTTTCCGTTTATATGGCAGTGCGCAAAGTTACAAATGCCACCATATTTGTTGCAGTATACATATTTGGGAAGCAATTCTCTTATTTTCAAATAATTAAAATAATTAAAATTACTAATTCATATGTGCACCTGCCATTTGCAATCCGTTCAATAATGACAACACATCAATTTAACATTAAGATTTACCACCATGTCTGTTAAGTCTACAGGTAAAACCCTTTCACATTATTTACCTCCATGCTTCTCTGAACTGGCGTTCGTTCCCAATCGGAGAACCAGTTCTGTCATGAAAGTCGTCTGTTTTATCGAAGTTCAAAGTACCACATAGCCCTAATGTATTGCTATAGTCAAGTGTGCTTGCGTAAATGTGTATATAATTTATTCCAGCCTTTGCCCCCCTATTAAAGACTTGAACTTCGACGTGACCGGCAGTGGGTAAATGGATCTACCGAAAGAAGAATGAATGAGAGAATTAAAAACAACAACATCTATCACCATGTATGCTGTTCATTTTATTAACATTTTCATGTTTTATGTGGAGGGGGAGAAGAAGGTAAAGCTGGTTCTTCTTTTGCAGTTAAGTTTGTCCATTGGGCCAATCAATCGGGGTCCTTTAACAATGCAGGCTGAGCGTTTTAGCAAGCCTTCTCCGATAATATTATTATACAGTGCACATCTGTGCTCAGATTGCCGAGATCCAAAGACATTAATTATCATTTCCCAGTTTTTCATTTCTATTGGATAAGTACATATACCATAAATTGGATATATCATTGTGCGTCTTGACAAAAATTGTTTGCTTTATATCAAGGCAAGATAAGCCATTTTGGGGTGAACTTTGACAAAATTATATTAACTGAGACAGAATATATTTTGTTTTCAACATGCGTTTCCTTGAAATATCCAAAGCATCATACTAAAAGTTCCACAAAATCGGTTCTTGGGATATATGTATAATTTGCAAAAATCCAACATTAAGCCATGTGTCATTTAAATACACTTTCACTTAAATATCCTTAGTTTAAACTACTATTTCAGCTTTATTTTACAATTGACATTTGTCAGGCGTCCCTTTGCTGCCAATAATATTTTGGTTCCATCTTATAAATACAAAATGACAGCCAACAGGCAAAATAATTATATTTTTACAGATTTTTTACAACATTTTACTGAAAATGTTGGCTTATTTCACTTTTTAGACACATTTCACTTCTAGAGACTTGATATTTTGATATTTATGGCCTATGTACTTACTTTGTACAGTCGCCCGTCTTTAAGCTGCTCAATGCGCATGGTCTCTCTTTCACAGCCGATCATGGAAACACGGCCATTTATTTTGTTTTGCTTACAGTAGTCAATTATGAATACATCGCTTTCAGACTTTACGGCCACTCCACAGTTACAGAATGGTGCGTTATTGTTGTTGTGGCAACTTCCGAAGAATGCATTTACCTGCAAACAGCAAGAAAGGGCACTTACTTTCTGCGCAATCATGCATCTGGTCATGATATAATTGAATGGGTTTCTCCAAAATCGCT